GCAGATGGGCGGTGTGTGGCAGGGGAGTAAGGTAGCTGTCTGCCCTGTGGAGAACCGCTGTCCCAGGGACAGGCTGTCAGCTTGGGAGCGACCACCCCCTTGCTTGCTCTTTCGGAAGTTCTCCCTCCGTGGCTGGGGCAGAGACTGGGGGACTCGTCTTCAGACTGGCAGTCTGAGGAAGGGCTCATCCGAGACTGGGTAAGTCATGGCCGTGCAGGAGGAGAAGAGCAGGAACAGCAGGGACACCGGCACTTGAAGTGCAGTCACACGTCATGAGCGGCAGCTGCTTTTGCTGCTCGCTTCCCAGGGTGTGCGTGCATGTGTTGGTGCATGCATGCATCCATGCATGTGGAGGGAGGGGCGTCTCCTGGATGCCCTGCTCCCTTGCACTTCCTGCCCCAGCCACTGGCCTCCTCTGCCCCTGGCATTCCTGTCAGGTGTTTTAGAGAGAACGGAGTCTCCCTCCCTTGTCTCCATTCTCTACCCATCTCTCCTCACCTCTCCTCTGCGCTCTCCTTGCTCTCCTGCCCAGAATACCTGCCATGCTGCTGCACCTGTGGCTTCTCACACTTGAATGCACCATGGGGGCCTGTAGGTTCACAAACCCGCAGGTCTCTGGGTGTCCCTCTTCCCCCTGTTTCCAACCCAGTATGGTTCTAACAAGTTCCCACGTAGCTCTGCTTACCTTATCCTTATCCACCAGGTCCTCTCCGAGAGCTACAGGTGGGCAGGATCAAGAACCAGTCCTGGGACCCCACAGCGTTCTCCACTCACCCTTGTAACTTCATCCACTGTGTCTGACCACTGGCTCTTCCCCGATCAGTACACAGAGAAGCTGGCCTTGTTGCCTGCTCTGGGTTCCCTCTCCCTTTCTGTTTTCACCTGTTGGACGCCTGCCTGCTCATGTGTTTCTCGGAGCCCCGCTCAGGGACCACAGCTTTTTTGCAAGGTTCTCGCTCTTTCATCACAATCAGAATTAATGGCCCCTCTTAAAAGATTAATTGGATTTTCATTCAGTCACCCATGTGTTAATGTGATTAGCAATGACTGGGTCATAGTTCTTTTGCCCAGACATATGCAAAAAGAGAAGCTCTTTTAAAAATGGCCCTTGGCATAAGGCAGCTATGGTTGCGCTTAAGGAGAATCATTTACTGGTGGAGTAGGTGCCTTTCACATGAGCAGTACACGCATAAAACCAGAGGATGGGGCAGGTTGGCTGGGGGAGCAGCTGCTCTTCTCTGCCGCTGAGCGCCCCCTTTTCACTCTCCGTCCCCCATGCACCCTGTTCCTCGTGGCTCAGCAGCCTTTCCTGGACTGACTGACAGACTCTCCTAGGTTTGATCCAAACCTGGGGTGGAAACTGCCCATCTGCAGCAAGAAAGGGCGTTGCTGTGAATGATGGGAGCTGCTGGGAAGGCAGCTGCTGGCGTGTGAGTGTACTGCCTGACCGTTGCTATCCCGGCCAGCCTTTGCTATCCCAGCCAGCCATTGCTATCCCGGCCAGCCTTTGCTATCCCGGCCAGCCATTGCTATCCCGGCCAGCCTTGGACCCTTCTCCTGCCTCCTGCTGCATCCTCTCACCTCCTGCTGGTTCACTGGGGGACTAACTCAGCCTCACTTCTGAGTGTCCTCCTTTCGCCTCAGCATGCATTGACTCCAAGTCCGTTTTCTGAGCAGCTAAGCCTGGGGTTTCCCTGGTTGAAGGCCAGTCTGATTCTCCTAAGAATCTTGTTCAGATGGAGATTCGGACGCAATGGGCCTGAGAGTCTGTTTCTGAGAAATGCCCACCCAAGTCATCTCATGCTGCTGGTCCACAGCACTTCGAAGTTTTTGTTTATGATTATTTTATGTATATGGTTGTTTTGCCTGCATGTATGTCTGTACCATGCATGTGCCTGGTGCCGGAAGAGGGTGTTGGATCCCTGGGCCTGGCGTTACAGACAGTTGTGAGCCTCCTTGTGGGTGCTGGGAATTGAACTCAGGTCCTCTGGAAGAGCAGTCAGTGCTCTTAACCACCGGGCCATCTCTCCACACCTAGGATTTATTTTATTTTAGTGAGTGGGGTGTGTGTGTGTGTGTGTGTATGTGTGTCTCTGTGTGTGTGTGTGTGTGTGTGTGTGTGTGTGTGTGTGGTATAGGAAGTAGGTACGTGACATAGCACACCGTGGAGACTAGAGGACAACTGATGAGAGTCAGTTCTCTTTGTCCTTGGGTTTGAACTCAGGTCGCCAGGCTTGGCAGCAGACGCCCTTATCCTCTGAGCCAATTTAGCGGCCCTGTCTACAGCACTTTTAAAAGTTCAGTTGCCCACTTTTATCAGTGTCCCATCTAATGATGGGCTTTGGTCTTGGGACCAGAAATAGAAACCAAAAGGGAATGAGAAGAGCTGAAACTTACCTAGTATTCAGGGTGCACCCAGTCCGGTACTAAACTCTTAGCTACTGCATTTAATCTGCTGGGCACTCTGGGGGAATTGGATGCACACGCCTGGTGATCTCACTTGCAGATGAAAACACAGGGTCCTTAAAGAGTCCAGGCTGGCCCAGCAGGGAGGGAGTCGAGGCTTGCAGCCGCACCTTGCCCCGGGCAATGCTGAGACAGGCTTGTGAATGCTTCCTAATTAGCCGTGGAGCCTCCCGACTCCTCCAGGCTTCAGGACATGTCCTCCCTACCCCGGAGATATGGGAGGAAATGCTGAGCTTAAAGTAAGAGCTGACCCCCTGCCCGTCTGTCAGACATATACCAAATTTCAAAAGTGCCTCTCTTTTAAGCTCCCCAATACTTCACAATATTTTGACATGGGATAGCAAAAAGAGAAAAGAAAAAGAAAAATTGGAAATGCTTTGAAATATTTCTCTTCCTTGGCTTCTGGTTTTCTGACCATGTGACTGAACTGAAGTTGAGTCATAGGATTCCAGTTTAACATATGCGGTTACTATAGCAATTGAGGTTTCCTTAGTAACAGTTGCAAAAATAATCTGGCCCCAATTAATAATACATGTTAAAGCTCTCTCTGCTCCACACAGAACAACCCAGTTCATTTGGCCATACACCAGATAATTCAGGTGGTGTTGTCTGCACTGATTGAGATACCGTTTGCATGTGGGGAATTGGGTCGGAAAGGGAACAGGTTGTTTCAGGACTCACAGGAGTCCACTTGGAAAAGTTGACCGTCAGGCTAATGCCGACCCAGGCTCCAGGATGCCCAGTGTGCCCTGAAGCACTCTGTGTTTGAAGGAAGGAAAAATAGATGATGCTAGAGTGTGGGGCCATGGCCCGTCTTGATGTGTGCTCCGTGGCTCGAGGTCTGTGTGTGAATTCAGAGGTCCTTCACAAGGAGAAAGTCTGCCTCAGCAACACGAGACAGATCCTCAGAGGTGCTTTTGTAGTAATGGTGCTGGGTGTGGGACCCTGCTCTGCCTTCTCACCAAACTTTCATATTCATCCTGAACATCTGTGTGTTCCCCGACACACAGAGGAGTGGTCTATGGCTGTCAGAAGCTCTCCTTCCTTACACATGGGACTCAGCCCTTGAAGCTGCTGATGAAACAGGCTAGCTAGCTGGCCAGAATCCCAGGGTCACAGCCAGGGGCCAAGCCCCACACCTGGACAGTTTCTGCGCATTCCAGCTGCTGGACTCCAGCCTTAAAGAAATGGACTGCCCAGCCTGGCCTGGAGATGGGCCTGGCCAGTCGGCAGGGGCCTTAGCTCTTTCCTCGCCGCGGGTCCTGTACCATACCCTGTTTTGGTCCTGTACCTGGCAAAGGGGTCCAGAATCAAGGTGTGAAGAGTGGAGTGTGGTGGACTCCTGCCTTGATTATCGATCGGTTCACTAAGAGAATTGCCTTCTCCTTTCTTCTTTTTGTTATATTTTTCTGTTTTTAGTAGGAAGAAGTAGGTTGGTAGGGAAGAGCAGAGACAAGTGTGATGATGTATAGGGTAAAATCCTCCAATTATCATCCTAAGATACATTTTACTAGAGTTTGGCTTCTCGCCACCTTAAAGCTGAACATCGTCTCCATTATCAAGCAGGGATCTCTGGAGTTGGCCATCCCTATTATTATTATCTGGAGTGGGCCATCCCTGTTGCTTCTGGACCACGATAGTAAGGGAAGCAAGGCTGGTGCTGGCTCTGCCCCGTCCATTGCTATCCTCTTCAAGATCTGCACCAACATCCCATAACTGTCCGTTGCCGCATCTCCAGTATCCTAGCAATCCTCGAGGGAGGGCTTCTTGCTTTCCGAAGCTTAGACACTGTGCTAGGCTCTAGGGTACAGAAATAAGGGGCTCCACCAGCAGTTACACTGTGAGACTGAGACTGTCCCACTCTCAGGGTGTCTTCAGCTTTTCACAGCCCTAGTGGAACCGTGGGTGATGGGACATGTCAGCTGGCTACATGGAGAAGCTTGAGCTCTGGTCCTGGGAGCTGAGCGTCTAGGGGAGGGGAGAGATGGAAGTGGGCGGCGGGGACAGCCTGGGTACCAGAGGGCACCAAGGGAGGAAAAAACCTTGCCTGGTGGGATGGGAGATAGAAAGGGTCAAGAGATGGAGTGGGAAGAAGAGTCTGGCGGGGAGGCGGCAGAAGAGCAGGCCAGTGGTCAGGGCGCAGGGCAAGGCGTGTGGGGCCGGGGAGTGGTGCGTGTGGAGGGTGAGTCCTAGGAGATGAATCGAGACAGTTAGGCCAAGTTCTGAGCGGGCTTTGTGCTGGCCAGGTGAGTCTTACTCTGTAGATTCTACAGGCAGTTGGGAGCCATTAAACTTTTTAAGCAAGGTCAAGCTCTGGGCAGATTGGTGTCTTGGCTGGGGGTGGGCAGTGGTGCACGGAGAATGGACGGGGGGCCAGGAGATGGGTGGCTAACACTGGGGGAGGTCGGGAAGGATGTTCACTCATGGTATATTCCCTGCTGGACCGACCCAGTCTCCCAGCCTAGAAGTGAGCTTGGGACAGGCCCCGTTTCCAGGACTGCCGGCCCCTCTAAGTCGCCCTCTTCCCCGCGCAGTGACGAAGCTGCAGGTGAGCAAGTCGAAGAGAACCCTCACGCTGGTGGAGAACCGGCCAATTCAGCTGAACTGCTCCGTCAAGTCCCAGACCAGCCAGAACTCGCACTTCGCCGTGCTGTGGTACGTCCACAAGCCCTCAGACGCGGACGGCAAGCTCATTCTCAAGACCACGCACAGCTCGGCCTTCGAGTATGGAACCTACGCCGAGGAGGAGGGCCTGCGAGGCCGGCTGCAGTTCGAGAGGCACGCTTCGGGGGGCCTGTTCAGCCTCACCGTGCAGAGAGCTGAGGTCAGCGACAGTGGTAGCTACTACTGCCACGTGGAGGAGTGGCTGCTGAGCCCCAACTACGCCTGGTACAAGCTGGCCGAGGAGGTTTCAGGGCGCACCGAGGTCACCGTGAAGCAGCCAGGTACGCATAGGGGGTGTGGCCATCATGGGCCTGTGTGTTGACTGCAGAGACCCTAGGACCTGGGGAACTCTGAACATACCCCCCCACACATGTGCGTGCATGCATGCATGCGTGTGTGCGCGCACACACACACACACACACACACACACACACACACACACACACGCACGCACGCACGCACACACACACAACTTGAGGCCGCCACAGAGACACCCTGCGTGTGGTTGTAGATGCACAGACCGTCAGTTCTAGTGCCCTGCAGGCCTTGTAATAGACCTGCCCTTGTCCTGATGCTGACTTGAGCATCCTCAACTGTCCTGTGGGAGCTTCTTCAATGAGATACTGAGGCCAGCTGAGGTCTCCAGAATGCAGACAGCTACCTTATGCTGTTGATATATTCACATACACACACACATATATGCATGTACATAGGCACATTTGTTGCCTGGGTCTCCACTAGATGAAGCTCCATGAATTATCAGGGATGTTGTTTCTTCATCAGACTCCCAGCAAAGCAATGGGACCAGGGACAGACGTCCAGATGTGGCCTGATGCACGCTGGATGCAAAGACACCATTCCCGTCCATTCGCAGAAGACGCCCTGTGTTCTGGGATCCATCTGGCACACACGGGCATGTTCTGCTGACTGTTTCACTGGTACATAGAGCAGGAAGTCCATCTCTGAGGTGCTTTCTGTGGCCATCCCATGACCTGGGTCCTGTCTGCCTGCTGGGCCCTGGGATGAATGTCTCAATTACTCAAGCTGCACTCAGACTCACCATGTAGTCCAGGCAGGCCAGGCCTTGACCTTGAGATCTACTGCCTCAGCCTCCCAGGTAGCTGAGGTTGCAGCCCATGCTGCAGTGTGTCAGGCAGGGCCTTCTGAGAGCTGACCGACAGCTGCTGTGAGGCCCGCGGGGCTCTCACCTGCCCTGCCCTGCCTCTGCCTTCCGTCCTGCTTCCTCTCCATTAGGATAATGTGAGTTTTGCTTCCGTGATCCCACCTCCCAAGGATAATGTGAATTTCGCCCCTCTGATCCCCACTTCCCCAGGATAATGTTATTTTCGCCCCTCTGATCACCACCTCCTAAGGTTTCTTCTCTCGTCTCCAGTCTTTTTCCTTTCCTCCTTTGGTTTGATGCCAAGAAGGTCCTCTCGGGCCCTCAATATATTGAAGGGGTTTCCCCATCTCAGGCTTCTGCCGAGCTAAGTGAGACAATGGAAGGGGCCACGAGGATCCCCGTCAGCAAGCACAGTGACACCTCTCCTGTGGCGAATCTGAGTACAGAAAACTCCCAGGGTGCTGACTACCACAGCTTTTGCTTTTTCAGTTGATTCTGTGGTTTGCATCTTTATCTCTTTTTTTTTTTTTTCCTGCTCCTTGTCCCCCTCCCCTTTTTCCTGATGAGAAAGCATACATCACTGAGCCATTGCAGGCAGTGGGGACGCACAGTGGAAAGCATCATAGTCTTGCAACTCAGATACAGTGCCAGCGTTAACATCTCATATGTATATTTTGGCCAGACTGCTTAAAAATAGAATCTTTTTTTTTTTTGCCTTTTATTTGCACCAGCGATCTTCTGTGCAGAACAAACCATCCACACAACACTGAAGTGCAGAGAGTGAGCGTGTCGGGTTCTCCTTCGCTTTACAGGTCACTTGGGGATGCTGGTCCCAAGGTCCTTTGTGTGTTTACAGTCATTGCTGTTAGCACCTTTTCGTACAGAGAGGTTCATCCGGGTCCTTTGTGGAGCTGCAGGGATGCTACTTCTTCCATGGGGAAACCTTGTTGGTGGCTGTTTCCATCGCCCCGCCTCATCAGTACCATCTTCACTGGGCTGATGTTCACATTGTTCTCTCCCCACCTTGAAAGAGAAGCCATTCGGAGGCCCAGTGTCTATGCATATTAAACTGGGTTTTCCTTGGCAGTTCCTTTATGGTTCTGGCTCTGCATAGTCCATTTATCATGTGGTCAGACTTACAAGTTTACTCCTCCCACAGGCCTAGTGGTGTGGGCTTGTAATCCAGGGTTCCCAGACAGCTGAGGCAGGAGGATCACCAGTTCAAGGCCTGCCAGGCTACAGAAGCTCAAGGCCAGCATGGGCAACATAGTGAAACCTTGTCTCAAAACACAGTGTTCAAAGGGTCGGTGACTGTCCTGCTCACTGTTCTGTTCCTGTGAAGAGACACCTTGACCGGGGCAATTTATAAAGGAAAGCATTTGATCGGGGCCTTGTTTACAGTTTCAGATGGTGAGTCCATGACCATCATGGTGAGGAGCGTGGCAGCAGGCAGACAGGCATGGTGCTGGAGAAGTAGCTGAGAGCTTACATCTGATCCACCAACCCTAGGCAGAGAGAGAGAGAGAGACAGACAGAGACAGACAGAGACAGACTGGGAATGGTGTAGGCTTTTGAAACATCAAAGCCCACACCCGATGACACACCTCCTCCAGCAAGGACACACCTCCTAATCCTTCTCAAATAGTTCTACCAACTGGGAACCAAACATTCAAATACATGACTATGGGGGCCGCTCTCCTTCAAAGCCACGGCCGTGTTTCAGTAGTCTAGTGCTTGCCTAGCGTGTGCAGGGCCCTGGGTTCAACTTCGAGTTTACCCCTGCTGGGAGAAGGGCTGTCTCTGCCCTTGCCTGCCCCTTCTCTTGCTAGCTACCTCTTCAGTCAACCACACACTCTGGAGTCTGCAGTTACTCTTTTATTGCTTGTTTCCCTCCCCCAAACATCTAAAGCGCTTTGGGAAGGCTTCTGAACGCATGGCCAGGGATTCAGCACACTTAAGGTGCCATGTCTGAGAAATGTATGAGACACTCTCCTGTGCCCCAAGGGCACCTGTTACCCACTCTCTCGGGGTGCCGTGCCCTGCTCGCGGTCAGGTCACAGTGTCTCTTTCTTCCCTGTTCAGACAGCCGCCTGAAGCTCAGCCAAGCCCAGGGCAACCTGTCTATTCTGGAGACCCGGCAGATCCAGCTGGAGTGTGTGGTCCTGAACCGTACCAGCGTCACCTCCCAGCTCACGGTGGAATGGTTTGTCTGGAAGCCCAACCACCCAGAGCGGGAAACAGTGGCCCACCTGAGCCGAGATGCTACCTTCCACTATGGTGAACAGGCCGCCAAAAACAACCTCAAGGGCCGACTGCACTTGGAGAGCCCGTCTTCGGGCGTCTACAGGCTCTTCATCCAGAATGTGGCGGTCCAGGACAGCGGGACCTACAGCTGCCGAGTGGAAGAGTGGCTGCCCAGCCCCAGCGGTGTGTGGTATAAACGGGCTGAGGACACAGCCGGGCAGACGGTCGTCACGGTCATGCGACCCGGTAAGCCCCCCCCCCCAGCCTTCCGTGTTAAGAATGTTTTGAATGTTTGAAAGGCACTTATCCTGTCGCTGTGACCAGAGAAGCAACTTCAGGAAGGAAGGGTTGGTTTGGCGGAGACAGCCCGTCATGGTGGGTTGTCGTGGAGGGGTGTCGTGGAGGCAGCTGGTCACATGGCATCTGGTCAGGAGGCAGAGAGAAGTGGATGCTGCTGCTTATCTGCCTTTCTGCCTTTGGGTCACCAGGACCCCAGCCTGTAGGGTGCTGCTGCCCACATTTGGGGTGGATGGGTCCTCCCTTCTTGGTGATCCTCTCTGGAAATGCCCTCACAGACGTGCTCAAAGGTGTGTCTCCTAAGTGATTCCAAATGCAGTCAGAAATAAAGGTTAACTACCATGATCCTGAATAAAATTAGTTTAGTTAAGACATTGTTTGCAGGGGCTGGAGAGATGGCTCACTGGTTAAGAGCACTGGCTCTTCTTCCGGAGGACTCAGGTTCAATTCCCAGCACCCACATGGCAGCTCACAACTATCTGTAGCTCCAGTTCCAGGAGACCCGACACCCTCACACAAACAGTGCACATAAAATAAAAATGAATAAATCCTTTTATTAAAAAAAGGGAGAAATTATTTGCAGTTAAGCATATGAACATTTATATTGTACATTCATATTCTAAATTCTCTCAACTTGTTTTTCCTATGAACGGGAAATCGCTCATCAGGCTTTCTCCTCAGGTGATTAGATTTCTTAATTAGAATAAAAGCCAGCAGTTAATTGTTCTAGGCCATAGGAATATTTTCCTTTTAAAGCATCCATTCAGGTAGGAATAGGTGGTTAGTGTGACGGAAACCTTGGAACAGTAGCCGTGTGTCCAGAAGTTATGCTGGTGGGTTTACTGTGGGAAAGAATCGTTCTTTAAGCAGAACGCAGCAAGTCCCTCCGGCCTCCCCTCCTCTCCCAATCATTTTATTGACACTGGTGACTTCTCCGTGTGGCCCTTTGTTCCTCGTGTCTATTGCCGTTTCTAAAGTGTCTAAAGGCATATAATTACTGGGTGCAATTATTGTTACATTTAACACATAATTAAGGCTGAGATGTGCAGACTCCCTGTGTCTCCTGCAGCATCACAGCACCACCGAGCCTTATCAGAGCAAGGAGTCAACCATCCCTTAAGGACATGGCACGGAATTGAACTTGCGACCTGTCAGTGCGAATGCCTGGCCTTGTATCTTCTGGGCATCTTGATGTTCACTCTGAATGGTCCTTGTACCATTGCAAGTTCTTCCCCTTGTGGCGCCACAGCTAATGTGAGCTGATGTCAGAGTCACAGCTGTCTCGTGCCCCAGTCTGTCTCAGGAGAGGGGCATTGATTGACCTCGCCGTGCTCGGCCATGCTGGAGGAGAAATCCCCTCCTTGGAGTTTTCTTTTTCACGTACATAGTTGGCTGTTTTGCTGCTGCTGGTGTTTGAAACCTTTCCCGGAGGCAGGCCGGTGCTTGTCTTTCCCTGGAAGTAGAGTGTAGAGAATGGGTGCTGAGCACACTTCCCCAACTCCCACCCGGCAGATCACTGGGGACCCCCCCCCCTGGAGTGGGAGGAGACAGACACTTGGGGAGATCCAGCTAGGTCCCTGCCAGTTAGCTTGATGTTTAGTCTAACTCAAACCCCCAGCGGGAGACTTCTCTAACGAGGGAAATGAAACCCGGAGGGGATTTCTGCACAGCTGACGAGAGCCGACAGAGTGGCCGCAAGTTTCCACCCTGCCGCACTGTGTGCTCCTGTGTGGTCCCGAAGCCTGAGACCTGTCCACAGTCTAGATCCCCTCCATCCTCCCTCCCTCCCTCTCCCTGGTTTATTGATGCATTTATTTAATTAATTTACTTGTGGGAGTGGTGAGGCAAGATCTCACTATGTAGCTCTGGCTGTCCTGGAATTCTCAGACCAGGCTGGCCTTGAACGTCCAGAGATCTGCTTGCCATTGCCTCCCAAGTGCTGGGATTAAAGATGCCACCATGCCCTACAAGAAAAAATTTTTAGATTATTTTATTTTATGAGTTTGTCAGTGTGTGTGTGTGTGTGTGTGTGTGTGTGTGTATGTATGTGTGTGCATGAATCACATGCATGCCTAGTACCTGCAGAGGTCAGCAGAAGGTATTGGGTCTCCTGGAACTGGAGTTAAGGATGGTTGTAGGCCACTATGTAGCTGCTGGCAATTGGACCCCAGTCCTCTGCAAGAGCATCAAGTGTTCTTAGCCATGGAGCCAGCTCTCCAGCACCCTCCCTTCCTCCTGCAAACCCATGGCATCGGGCTTATTGACCTGGGTTCTGGGGCAGCTTGGACTCAGGTCTGTGTGGCAGGCTCTTTTCCCTTGGGAGCCACCTCCCTGGCCTGTTTTGTTTGTTTTAGGGAAGTGAATCAGCCTTTTCTCCCTTCTCCGTTCCTTGTCCCTCCCCAGATGCCGCCCTGCAGGTGGACACGGTGGTCCCCAATGCCACAGTCTCCGAGAAAGCAGCTTTCCAGCTGGACTGCAGCATCCTGTCTCGATCAAGCCAAGACTCCCGCTTTGCTGTGGCCTGGTATTCCCTAAGGACTAAAGGTGGAGGAAAAAGAGGCAGCCTTGGCATTGAAGAGCAAGAGGAAGAGGAGGAGGGGGAGGTATCGGAAGACGAGGACAGTGAAGATCCAACAGAGAGGGTGGTCCTGCTGAGCGTGGGACCTGATGCCGTCTTTGGTCCCGAAGGCAGCCCTTGGGAGGGCAGGCTGCGTTTCCAGAGACTCTCGCCCCTGCTCTACCGGCTCACGGTGCTTGAGGCGAACCCCCACGACACAGGCAACTACTCCTGCCATGTGGAGGAATGGCTGCCCAGCCCCCAGAAGGAGTGGTACCGGCTAACAGAGGAGGAGTCGGCCCCCATTGGCATCCGGGTTCTGGACACAAGTGAGTTCCCCCAGTTCCAGAAGAGGGGTGTGACTGTTGTCCCTGCAGCATCTAGAAAGTAAATTTAGAGCCTGGTTGTGGGTTAAGCATTTTTCCTAGCTGCAGTGGGCGTTTACTAGTAGGGTTTGAGATGTAGAATTTGACACACTAGCCCACAGAGCTGACCCTCAGGTTACCCATGCACCAAAAACAAACAAACAAACAACAACAACAACAACAAAAAAAAAAAAAAAACAGGGCTAGGAATTAAAGTGATGAGATACCACATGGCTTTTGTGATCAACCTGACCTCTACCTGAGTCTGTTTCAGTAAGATCACATTGGGCGAGTGTCTTGCTTAGTGTTTCTTTGTTATACGTTAGAATGCCAGGTCAGTCTGCAGTGACTTAGCAAGTGTTTCCAAATTCACAGGAGCGGGCAAAGAGGTAAAGCCGTCCCCCATGTTTCTGGGTCACTTTTATTTTAGAGGATGACTTAGGGGTGGGTGTAGTAGATTTTGCCTGGTCACTGGGACCAGCCTAGAAAGACAGCCGGGGGAGTTTGGAGGCACACAACAACTCAGAATGGCCTGGAACACAGTTTCCTTCCTATGAGGGCCTTTTGCTCCGAACACAGACTGGAGGAAATGCTCTTTTGATTGCCCGTCTGTCAAAACATAGAGTCGACCGGGCTGAACGTGGCGTTTGCTCTAGTAGAATCGGCTTAGAATCCAGAAACCGAAGAAATCTCAGGTTTTCAACCTCTTCAGCCAGTTCGTTCTACCCCGTCATCTTGATTTGAGGTTCGGGTGCTCAGAAATCTCTGCCCGGATCACCTCCTGTCCATATCATGTCAAGTGACATTGAAATGTGTATGGGTTGAAAGTGTTGATCGTCAGTCATTTGATATAAATTTGCCATCTATCAGTACATGCTGACTTTTTCTTAATAATTCCGATGGTGTACGACCGTATGATAGAAGGGGAAACAGAGCCTGAACCAAATGTGCACCCCGTGTGTCAGGAGTGAAAGTGCTGAGGACACACTTGACCCGCCTCTGTGGACACCTGGGATAAGCTTCGTGAACATGGGGATCACTGAGAGGCAGAGGCAGGCCGGGTTTCTGCCAAGGACCGAAAAAGACCTGGTGTCAGGGCTCCTGGCTGTAAGTCCCCCCTGTGCAGCCAGACGCTGGACACCGTCCGTGGCCCACAGTGGTTGCGTGAGTTGATAATGTTCAGCAAGTGCCTTTCCCAGTACAGCTGCTCCCTGAAGTAGCCAGGAAGGGGATGTGCTAGATTCCCCGGCATAGGCGTCTATACAGTAGACCTAGGCACGGAAGGACATGTTAGATACCCTCTCAGAACGAAGGAAGGTAAGAATGAAGGGGGGTCAGCGTCTCTACCCCCCTAGACACCGGCCAGGTCACGGTCAGTAAGCCCGAGTGTGTGACCTTCCCGGCGGACGTGTGGATCTCGGGGGAAATGGAGGTTCTGCAGCATTTGAACTTGAGAGGCATGAGCGCTTGGGGCGTTGTGAGAAAAAGAACGGGGAAAGGTCTCCCAGTCCCTGGTGGCGGTGGGGAGGGCTGGGCGAGTGTTTGGGGGAAGTCTCAGGAGCAGGCCCGTGCGGTCCAGCCTCCCGGCTCACGGTTGGTCCCTTGCTGCCTTCCAGGTTCCACGTTGCAGTCGCTCATCTGCTCCAACGACGCCCTCTTCTACTTCGTCTTCTTCTACCCGTTCCCCATCTTCGGCATCCTCATCATCACCATCCTGCTGGTGCGCTTCAAAAGCCGGAACTCCAGCAAGAACTCGGAGGGGAAGAACGGGGTGCCCCTGCTGTGGATCAAGGAGCCGCACCTCAACTACTCCCCGACCTGCCTGGAGCCCCCAGTGCTCAGCATCCATCCGGGAGCCATAGACTAAGGAGGGTGGCCCCCCCTGCAGACATTGCCCATGGCAGGGTCGGGTCCGGGGAGCCCTGTGGGCTTTTCCTCATTGCTTCGTGCTCTGTGATTGGACAGGCCACAGCACCCGAACTCTGCAGTTTTCTCTGCAGAGACCAGTCAGACCTGGACCGTGTTGGAAGATCCCAGTCGTGGAGATGACTGCCTCCGGGCGGCAGTCCTGGTTAGCTCTTTGCACCCAGGTGTCGTGATCCCGACATGATCCCAACGTCCTGGGTTTCTAGTTTTTGGTTTTGGTAAACGTAGTGCGTAGCTCCAGGGGCCGCATCTACTCACCAGTCTGTCTAGTGTTTTCGGACCGGTGCTACGGGGTTTCCTGTTCAGTGTAATGTACTCTTTTAAGCCCCTTTGGTCCTCTCCGTGTGGATCTCATAATGTTGTGGAAGAGTTTCTCTCACAACCGAAAAGCAAGAGGAAGACGACTTTATAGTAACAAGAAATCTCTTCCAAGACATTTTTGTTTTTGCACATTTGAAAATGCCACCCGTGGATCAAAATACACCCAAACATTTTTTTTATTTTTTTTTTTTTACTTTCTTAGCAAAGACTTGAAAAATATGTGTAGCGTGGGCCCAATTTGTATCTTATCTTTTCCCTCAGCTGGAGTTGTTGGAACCACTTTATAGTCAAGATGAAAGCATTGAATTTTGCTTCAGAGAACTGCACATGTGCAGAAGGCGGCCTGCAGAACCTGTTAGGATTAGATGGTATCCAGCCAGCCGATCTACCAGGGAGGCGAAAGGGGACCCCGTCCTTGCCAAAAAAAATAAAGAAAGCAAGCAAGCCAACCTGGAGGCCGGGTTGAGGGCTCCAGATGGCCCTCAGCTTCTGAGGGTTGCCCTGAGTGTACCTACCTTTGTAGTGACCAAAGCCAATGATTAGGGACGGGGAAAGAAGCTGCTTGTTGTCTTGATGATGGCAAGCTCAGTCTCTTGATTGATACCCCTGAGCAGGGAGCTTTTATCTGCAGGTGTTTTGCCAAATTTTCAAGGGGACATGTCCAGTGAACCTGAAGGGGCTGCCCTGAGTGGAGCACTGTGGCCCAGTGGAGGGTGCTGAGCTCTCGTACTGAGTTTGGGAGAGTGGAGGGTGGGGTGGGGTGGGGGGTCTCTAGACCCTGATGTTGGAGAGGCTGGAGGAAGTCTTAACCTCTCTGTCTTCCTCCCACCGGGGGATGAGGTCTTCCTCATCTGTCATTGCTCTCTCCCTGAATCTCACTGCTGTGGGGATATTGTCCTCGGAGAGGACCAGGTGCCCTTTGTGATCCAAGCTCTCCCCTAATCTCAGCAGACTGGGGGGGTGGGGGAACAGGTGTTGAGTCAGGGGTTGTCCCTTCTCTTTGTTGGAGTGTGTGAGTGTGTGTGTGTGTGTGTGACTGTGCGTGCGTGCGTGTGTGCATGTTTAGGTTGTCTTGGTTGTACTAGTGGCTTCTAATTTTCAGCCCACAAATTCAAAATCCACTGCCTCCACTGTTACTAGGCCAGATGCTTGGCTGCCCTAGAGCCCCATCCATTGCACATCCTTCATTTTGCCTTTCACTCGCTCTGAAGATCTCGTGAAGCCCCCCTCTCTTCCCCCATCCTTCCCAGCCATACCTTCCCTTGGGAATTTGCACTCTGAATCCCAAGATAGAGCCCCTTGGAAAAGCCGCCCAAGATTGCGGAAGTGAATCTAATGAGAATAAATGGTCAGCACAACACGGAGGCTGTGGGATTTCCAGGCCACTGAGCCATGTGGTTACAGGTCCTTTCCAGGGGTCCACTGGGTGTAGGCCACGTTCCGGGTGGCGGGGGAGGGCAAGGGAGGCAAGACAAACCTTCCTCTTCCCCCTTGATCCTCTGGGAAGTTTCCAGGCACGGCCACCCTAATCCCTCGGGTGCCCACCCTGCTGATTCCCTATTCTGCACCAACACTTCAGAGGGACCAACTTGGCCCAGTCACAAAGAAAGAACGTCTTTTCTTCTGTTCCTTCACTCCGTGGGTATTGGGCTCTCAGTGGGTCATGCTGACTCCTGGTTTTTAGGCTGAGTCAATGAGGAAAGACTGCCTCTGCCTCTGAACGGAGAGACGCCAGAGGGCTGGCCTGGATTAAGATTTCAGATGGGTTCTGTAGCAGCGGAACCCTGATGCTGCACGTGAATTTGTGAAGCCGTTGCAGGCCATTCGCAAGGAGGGAAGAAACCGAAGTCAGTATTTTAACAACTGCTTTGTGTGTGTGTGTGTGTGTGTGTTGCAGGGCTGGGGGATGCAATCAAACGTTGAACTCTGAGCTTTTTATGAAAAAGAAAAAGAGACAAAAACCCAGGGCCTCTCTGTGGCTGGCTGTATGGACATGTGTTGTCAGGGGAATGGTGATGGTGCCCTCCAGTGGCTGGAAGACCTCACTGCACATTGTGTGCCGGGGCTTTGGTCTTCTAAATTCAGAGAGCAAAGGACTCAAGAGACTCCTGACACCTGTCCGCTCCACTGTGCTAGGCATGTCCCAGGACACTATCCGACCGCACCCTCCCTCACCAGGGTGTCTCTGTAGCAAGTTTTCATACTCGTTTCAAACAATGGTTTCTCTGCGTTCATTGATGAAGAGAGAAGGAGTGAGAAGACCATCCGTGCATGAAGTAGAGAGCTGTTGGTCTGTTTCGCATTTTTTTTTTTTAAAGGAGAAACTGTTTGTAAGCCACTGCACTAAGACATTTTATAGACACTGCAGAGACTGTAGTAAATTACGTTGACACTACGCTGTTTACATTTTTCTGGAGTCTGATGCCCTCCTGCCCCTCACTGAACCAGCCACCTCCGGCTTGTGGGACTGTGCTCGTGGGTGGCCTGGAGTTCCACCCCTGGCACTGAGGTGTACCAGGTTCGAGTTTTACAAGCTGTAGCTTTTCTATGCATGCCCTCGCCCAGCCTAAATTATGTTTTTGTACAAATGATAAAAATCTTTCTCAAGACACTTTGGCCACATGCTGAAATGTATTACGACTCTACACCTACCCCATGTAGACTGCTGCCCTGGGAGCTGTGACACAGAGCAGCCCTGGGGCCCCGCGAGGCAGACCGAGAAGTTGACACTGTCAATGGGTTACGTGACTGGCTTTTCTTGGGTGGGAAATCTAGGGTCAAAAGACACCGGAAGAAAAGAACCTGCCGGCTCCCTAGGGCCTCTGCCACAGACCCCGCTGTCCCTTCCCCAGCCCCGTTAGTGGTCGTGAGTGGACGTGGTCAGCAGGCATTTTCCCGGGTAGACACAAGGCTCGGAGCTGGCCAGTCCCGGGCAGTGGGACTGAGCACCGGTCACTGCTCTGAGTGAGTGGTCGACAGAGAAGCAGAGGGATGACGTAGGCCCCGGCGGTGATCACACTTGGTTGGGTCTTTGCAGTTCATAGAAGGTGCAGAGGAGGGAACAGAAAAGCAGAGGGGGTGTGCTCCTCCCCTCCCTTCCGTCTCCATCCCGTTTTCAGCCAGCCGTCCTGCGGCTCCGCCCTGTGCTTTCCTCTGCTCCCGGCCCCATTTGCTCTCTTCTTATCACCTTCTTGCAGCCGCCAGCTTGGCCACAGTTAAAACTGCCACTGCTTATCCCTTAGGTGCCCACAATGATTCCGTGTTAAGTCTTACGCATTATTTTTGCTTAGATGGGGGAAAATGTGACTGTTTATTTCCTAGGTACCCACAAATGGTTCCCTATTAAGTCTTACCCATTATTTTTGCATGATTTCCCCATCCCCACCCCCAAATGCCCTCTTCCTACCAGGAACTAAATTTTTAAAAGGGGAGCAGAGTATTCTAGAGTAAGATTACCCCTATTAAGCCCTTGGGTTTAAAATGAACATGTACCTCCCCGTGAGGCATATGATGGAAATGACCATCTGTGTGTTTGGGCTTAGAGGCTGTGTCTTGTCACTGTGTCCCAGATTTCTACACTGCAATTCCAAGTGTTTGGCCAAACTAAAGCCCAGAGCAGCAGAGAGTGGCATGCCGCAAAGCATGGTCCAAGCCTCTTGGGCTGTCTCTTCTTACCTTCTCATCCACAGTTTCCCACAGTGACGAGAAGGAAAAACTGGACCACAAAACGCCAGTCACAGGACGAACACACATTGGGCAATCCTTTTAAAAAGAGAAGTAGAGACGGTTCTCAGCATGTGAAGGGAGCTGGTTGGCTCTCTGCCAAATGCATTATGGGGCATCCTAAGCCACTTTTGATTCATGAAGTCGGCTGTACAGGGCCTCTCGGCTCATCTAGAGAATCTTGATAGAAACACAGCCGTTCTCTTAATGAAAGGCCTGGCACTGGCCACTGGTCAGAGTGCAATCAAGGGTCTAACGAGTCCACCCTCACCCGATACATGGAGACCATGACCTAAGGCACTTCCCCAGCACCCGGTGATAGGGCTCTCCGTTCTGCAGCTCCCCTCTGCCTTACTGACAACCCTGGCAGCTCAGTCCCAAAGCCCCATTCATCTTCATTGTCGTTCCTGTCTGGGCAGGGCAAAGGGGAGGCTTTGGACTCGGCCCCCCACTGGGTCTTAGGTAAGCTGTTTATCCTCTTCAAGCCAGTTTCCTTGTAGTGAAGATAGACAAGCAGCAAGCCTGTGAAAACCAGCCAGGTGATAGGCTCACACACAACACACTCATCGTTCCTACCCAGCTCCAAGACAGATTTCTGACAGCTGCCTGGTACGTGAAGTCTGACCTCTCCTGCCTTTCCCAGCTGGGACATTCTGACTGACTGTCAGGGGTGGAGAAGAGAGTGTCTTTTCTCACTTTCTGGGCCACACCTTGTACCTGCCTGGTTCCCAGGATCTGCAAGCGATAGAAAGTAGGTTTCATGGGGTGGGAATTCCGTCCCAGGAATTCAGTGACAGAAAGACCTTTATGGTTTTATGGCTGGTTTGAGACATACGTGAATTCCTGTTCACATGCCTGGGTGACTAGGTCCCCACCTGAGGGTGAAGGAGATGACAGCAAGAAGCATGCTTCGTGTTCACAACTGGCGACACGCTTTGGTGTCTATGTGGACAGCAGAGTCCTGCTCCCAGGACAAGCATTCTCTCACTCCTTCAGCTGCACAGGGCCAAGCCTGATGCTTCTTTTTGCAAGAACCGGGACAGCCAGGAAGGAGGATCTGAAAGTGCAGGTCTGAGAATAGTAATTTGACCTGGGGTCTGGTGGGTTGGAAGAGTTCAAGCCTGCGAAAGCTAAATTAACAAACTGTCTCGGACTGGGGTGCACGGGGGTCAGGGGGGTTGCTCCCAAGGGAGAGAATGGAGATGTAGCTCGGTTGGCAGTGCTTTCCTGCCCCGGGTTCTATGGGGGTGCTGAGAAATCAGTCTGTAACCCCAACACTTGGGAGATGGAGACCCAGGATCAGGAATTCAAGGATACCCTTGACAACATGTCAAGTTCTAGCCTAGCATGGGCTACAAAACACCCTGTCTGTAAACAAAGAACAAGGAGCTACGGAGATACCTCTGAGGTTAAGAGTACTTGCTGTTCTTACAGAGAACCAGATTCAATTCCTTACACCTACATGGTGGCTCACAAGGCTTGTGATTCTAGTTCCAGGGGATCTGGCACCCTCTTCTGGCCTTCTCGGGCCACTGCATGCACATGGTATTCATGTACACACACACACACACACACACACACACACACACACACACACACACACTTGAATGTAATGGAATTCACACCCAACAACGCGGCAATGGAAGAGAGAAACCAAGGCTACTGGTAGTCCTTGGGAGATTCAGGAAAAGAAGTGCTTGTGTGAGGCACTCTAAGAAACCCCCACATTCTAGCAGTTGTCTCAAAGGGCCCCTTCTAATATTTGAGGAAAAAGTGGGAGGGAGGTTATCTTGTGCGGGCTGAGTAAAGGGGAAGAGGAAACGCACCTCTTGGTGGGATGGCACACTTTGGTCTGTCATAGTGTCACTTCAAGGCCAACCCCATAGGGCACAGCTCTCTGGGAGTGACCGCCCCAGCCTGACCCTCCACTTCTGATTGCCCTCATCAAGTCCGTAGGGCTGCAGGAGGGAGCCTCACAGGACAGGAGGAGGAGTGATGTGCATATGCTGCGCCTACTGTTTAAAACTAAGCCAGGACTCCCGAAGATGGACTTGGGAGTGGGGCCCCTGGACCTCTGTATTTGTTCCTCTTCCTAATGTGACCACATTGAGTCAGTCTCCTTTTGCTTTTATTATTATTTATTTTCCCTTCCCTTCCCTCCCCTTTCCTCTCCTTTCTGCCTTCTTCATTGACATATTGGGATGAGTGCCTGGACTCCTGGTTTTTTTTGGAACTTCTAGAACCCAGGCTAGAAAAAGCTCCTGAGATGGTGTCTCCTTGAATTCATGAATCCATTCAGAGGTCATTTCAGCCAGCAAACCTGTGTATAGGATCTGTTCTGCATAGCTGTAATGAGGAGGGTTTGGGCCCCATTCGAGGTGAGCCCTCTGGGAGCCTAGCCTGCCTCCCCAGAAACCTGAAAAACAAAGCAGTGAGCAGTCTTAACTCTGTAGTTAGACCCAACGTAACACGTGGTGGAGCGGGAAGGGAATGGTAAGTAAGACTTCACAAACACGAAAGGCAATATTCCACTCTAGGCAGTAATTTTCCTTGGAGTTTAAACCTCCTTCTCAGATGGACTCGGAGTCATCTGGGACACACCTCTGGGGTAAGTCCATCAGTGCATTTCCTGAGAGATTTAACAGAGAAGATCCATCCTGAGTGTGGGTAGCACTGTCCCGTAGGGTGTGCTATCAGACTGCATAAAGAAGAAAAAAGGAAGCCAGCTGAGTACTAATATTTATCTCTCCCTCCCTCATTGTGGACTCAAGGACATCAACATGTTCCTGCACTCACAGCTAGAACATGTCTCACTGAGCACTAGGTTGCCTCTCACAAAGGATCTACTCAGGGGCCTGCAAGTCCCATGTCTGGCTTTTTTCACGCGTTTTGGGAACTCTTGAAGATGGACAGTCAGGCAAGGTCACCAGTGGTGGCTCACGCCTTTAATCCCAGTGCTCAGGAGACGGAGACAGGTGGATTTCTGTGAGTTCGAGGCCAGCCTGGTCTACAGAGCAAGTTCCGGGACAGGCTCCAAAGCTACAGATCAAAACAAACAAAACAAACAAACAAACAAAAAATGGACAGTCAGTGAAACGGAAAGTTCTGGGGGTTTTGAATGGAGCAAATTTATAGTATGGAAAATGGCCTGTGACAACTGTGCTTTCAGTTTTGAACGAGTCTATTAAGTACTTAGGGGCAAAGTAAACGAACAGATCATAAGTAGCAGACAGGTAACAAGACATCATCAAAACCATTTACAACACTCAGCATAGCGACTGGAGTAGCCTGAGGTAACGTATCAGTCGGGGTTTACCAACATCCAGCAGAAATCCGCTGGGGAAGCCGAGGCAGTCATTGGGAGTTCTTGGTGGAACTTTCTTTCCATGGATGGGCTCGCAGCTTCCTGTTCCCACAGCAGGCATTTTTATATTATGGAATAAGCAATAGTAACCTCTGTTGGCAAAGGGTTCCTTTCTAGCTGTTCTCAAGGACAATGTTTTGTTTTGTTTTGTTTTGTTTTTTTTAATACCCTTAGCTGCTTGCTGTTTTTTCCTCTCCCCATTACACAGCCAGGGGCCATCCTGACCTGGAACAGGGTGGATTTTTTGGAAGAGACAAAGGATCCCCCTCCCAACCCACCCCCAGGCACATTCCCAGAGTCTTTTTTATCAACGGGCCTGTTGATTTATCGATATAATATGTATTATGAAGTGAGTGTGATTTTTAATAATTCTGTCACTGAGTGGAGAATGGTCTGTAGAGAGGAACAGGGGTCCCAGAAATAGCACAGGAACAAAATGAGAAGCTTGGACAGGCAATGGAGGAAGCAAGAAGCGCCTGGCTTTGTTAGGAAGGCAGGGCTGGCATGGGTTGGCACCGGCTG